CATCAATTCAATTTGTTGTATAACAGTACAATTATCATAATATATCTTGATATAAAAATGTTCGGACTTTTAATGTGGCATAAATATATTGTAAATATAGTTTAAGGAAACACGTATCAATATTTCATTTTGTAATGAGTTTTATTACATTCCACGTTAGTTCATTAAGTTTTTATTGGTTTACTCGTGTATATGATTGCCTGGGGTAGATCATATTATTCACAATCTAATGAAAGTGTCTTTTAAAATACCGTGCTAATTATAAACAGTTAACACTACCAGTGTATTGTAGTACATGAGGTAATAATTTTGTGCAAAAGAAATTTTTATAAATATCTTCAATATTACCTACTTAGTTAGTACGGTTCGGTATAATGTTGTTATAATCCCAGAACACACAAGAGGATATTAAACTAAAACCAGTAAAATCTTTAAATCATAAACTTTAGTGTTTTTGAGGAGGTATAAAAGAGTTCATATACCTACGATATAATAGTGAAATTATTCGATTAATAGTATATTTTCAAACAAGAACACAACTTTTTTACTCAAATTGTTTTAAAATTCAGACAGGTAATAAACTTGTAAAAATATATTAGTTTTGATTGAAATTAAATTACTTTAAAAAAAAAATGCTTTAAGATGGTATACGTAAGTGTAATTAGCATTATGCTTACATTTTAATTAAAACTTAGAATTTTTATTGCTTAGTTTCGTTTCCCCACGCAATTAAATTATAGGTACGTATTAACTAATTATACTAGGTAATTAGTATATCAATCGAGCAATAAATCGAAACATAAAAATAATTGTACCAGATTTTAATTTTTAATATATAATCATACATGTCTAACGTATTAATGTGTATAATACATACTCGTATTAATTAGGTATATCAACAAAAATGTATGTTTGAAAAAGTTGTAAAAACAAACTTATATCTTTATCGATAAAATCTACTAAAACCTAAAATCTAACTTTTCCAACAAAAAAAAAAGCTCTAGAAGAATAAATACGATGCATCGTTATTATACATCGCGATGTATAGTTAACTCAGTCGTCCATTTCAGGAATAATTTTATAATATTAGTGTCAGCCTAATACCTATATTTTCTTTGTTAAGTTAAATATCAGTACCTAGTCCATCACTGATGTGTTAATATCAAAATGCTCAATGAATGCAATGCTAATAATTATGAGTACTACATGTCTACATATTTTCATCACTCATCAGTAAGTTGCACAAGTTTCTATTGTTAAGTATTCGGGTGTTTTGGAGTGGATAGACACAACGTATAATAGATATACAACTCAGTCGTGGCGTTCTTCTTAAACTCATTCCAAAAAGAAAATGCGTTTATTGAAAAGAACTGTAATTATTATATTGTAACGGTAGTTCTTATAACAATAACTCACAATTCGTGCAGGGTGAAAATCTCTTATATATGTGCAATCTACGTATAATATAGTATACATATATGACCTTTAGGCAGAATAATAAAAGAAAACTTGGGACAGATCTAATGAGCGAACGCACGTCACAAAAAATAATCATAATACCATAATAATTCATTGTCCGACGTTAGGATTTCACTGCATCTATATCGAAAATTGAGTGTAGTGAGAGTATATATTATTATTATATTTTACACGCAATGCAGATAGTGGGTGAACGTATATTAAAGGTTTTCTCAATTCCTGAACAGAATTTTCGTGATAAACGGATAATAATATTGTTTTGATCTAGATCCGTCGATTCCCTAACCACTATAAATACCGTATATCAGCTATTTGCACTGTTTCCAAAATATACTATACACTTTGCAACAGATTGTGTGCTGACAAATGAAAACATTTTTGCCATTTGTATTAGGTTAAAGACTTATTGGATGGAATGATCACTGTTTGTGTCTTGCGCTGATATATTATAATTTACAGGTAATCTGCGGACCGGAAATACGAGGTTATTACTATTTTTTTGCCCGTGACTTAGGCGCAAAAAGACGTACGAGTTTCCCGCTGTGGATCATTAAGATTCTCGGTTTAAAAAATCATCAGAAACACAATCGAATTACGAACGTGCAGACATGTCCGGAGATCAACTCCTATAATATTATTATACATATCGCTACACATAATACACTCAAATATATAAATAATTATAAATACGTTATTGTTATATACGCCATAAGCCAATTTGTGCTTTCTACGTACTAAAAACCTCACGAAACTGGGTTCAACAATTGGTGAAGTCTAAATGTAAAAAAATAATAGAACGAAAACGTAGGTATATTATACTATTATAGGCGTTTTTCAGATTTCTGCGCGAAATCAAGTGCGCCCCAGTTAGGTTAGGTGAGTAATAGTATGAAATCGAATAAATATCCACCAAATGTTACTAGCAAAAACAATTGATAAGAAATTTCCTTGCTAAAATCGGTATAAAAATAATGTATCGGAATATTTGCACTACATCATTAAATAAATGAACCATCATATCACTATATCAGTTCATTATCCCAATGTGGAAAAATGGAAAAATATTATAAACATAGTTTTGCATCGGATATGGACTAAAGAATATTTACCTAAATTTACAATGATTATATGAATAATATAATCAAAAAATAATTGATCAACTATCAGTGCAATTCTCAGAACTTTATGCATTGGAGTAATTTTGAAGGAAAAAAATCTGAAATTATACAAATTTGCTTCGTGGTGTTTTAAACTTCTGAGAGTATATTTTTATTAATTTGYTATTTTAATAGACATGTGTAGGTTACTATTACATATTTTATAACTTCTATTACATTTAAAATAATTTAAACAATTCATACGTTAAAAAAAACTGCTTTGCCATTATATGAATAAAATGACATAATTATACTTTACATGATACAAAAATATTCTTTATTTTTTTCTTTTGGACATCATTTTAAAAATTATTCATAGAAAAATATGCTTAATAAAAATAGGTTTATACATTTCTTTAACTACTTTTATTATTGCATATTTCTGATTTCACCGCATATATTATCGATGGTGCATATTTGATTACATAATTCAACTTATTTAAGTGCATAATATTATTATTATTTATTTTGAATTTTATGTGTTAAATTCTGAGCCCAGCCTATATTATATTTGAAAGGTTTAAACCAAAACTGTATTCACCACGTCACACCTCGACGTTGGATGGGATCAGTATAAAATAAACCCACGTTACTTGGAATACAAATTGCGAGAAAGCGCAGAAAAACGTCGCGATAAATCAAAAATTACAAGAGTATTACACGTATGAAAACGTTGTTGTCACGTCCTTGTCTGAGGGATGGAGAAAAGGATAAAAATACGTATATTTTTTTAAACTATACTTAATTTCCTCTCGCTTGTGTGTACACTCTATATTACATACATAAATCGACTTATATATATATATATATATATGTTGACCTCGCGTTAGTTTTGCGTGTGACCTTTCACTTGTCGTTCGCGAGATRTGTATATGTGTGCACACGCGAGTACACGCAAGTGTGTGTGTGTAACTAGAGCAAATAGCGGGCCTATCGGGGCACGAAAATCGACCGACTGTCGTTTCGCAACGTTTACCTCTTAAGGAATAAAAATAAAAATAATCGGTCGTGACGGTTTCATAAAGAGGAGAAAACAAAAAGTAAAGGTATATTATGTACATGTCTATAATGTGGATCACGGTAGTTAAATCTTCATTTGCGATATGTCATGTCTTCAGACCACCTGCTGATGTTACTGTTGATGCAGTGTTGATGGCTTTAGTGGTGCATCGTGCTCCGTAACGCCTTTCAGAAATTTTAATATTATGCAACTATTGAATCTTCGGACAAGTCACGGCGCCCATATTAATAATAATAATAATAATAACAACACTGGAGCTTACTATTAGTTATCTTCTCTGYGATCCATGGTTACGTGTATATAATTACATTCACTGTCCAATGTTTTAAGTTCATAATGATAGCAAGATTAGAGTATTAATACAATACAGTCGATTATTTAATTCACGTGCAAAATCGTATATCGTATAGGACAGTATAATATCTACAGTTTGACCATAATTCAATAATCGTATAGATATTTATAATGATTTTTTTTGGATTTCTTCCATTTTATAGAATTTTTCAGACAAAAATCTTATTTTGATGAGCAAGGTCGAACGTTAACACAAAATTTTCACTAGTTATAAAATATATTATAGTGATTGTACGCATTTTGAAATTTTAAAAAACAGTAGATATAAAAGAAAATAATACATATACATAATATCATTATAATATTGTCCCGAATTAAGAATATGTACATGAAGTTCATACAGTGCAATATATATAATCACAAATTCCTTAAATAATTACAGACGTTAATAAAGAACGGTAGATGAATTTTATTTTTTACGAACTAATAGGCATTAAAATCGATCATATTCTATAAATAACTTGAATCTTGTTGTTTATACTTTTATACTTTATAATGGACAAAATGTATTATTTTCTTTAAATCAAAATGCAGGTTTAATTATTATTTCTATAGACGATTAAATTATATTGATGGACCATAGGTATATTAATTTTAAACTTTTATTATTATTTTTAAATTAATTTCACACACATCAAAATACGATTTAGCAATATTAGATAATTGCGGCTAGTTAAGAAAATATACCCTCAAGCTTACCACATTTAAATAAAGTGACACACTATGGGATTGTTTAGTTTATGATATATTTCACAACAGCCGTATTTAAAATTTAATTAAAACAATTTGATTCGTATGCTTATAATATTGCAATTATATACAATATATTCATGAATATGTTTACGTTTTAACTTTTAAGGGCACAATAACCTTTCGTGAGCTCTAAATATATATTAATAAAACTATAACTACTTCTAATATACTTATATACTTATATACTACTACTACTTATATACTTTAACAAATATATATTATACAACACTACTGACCTGTGAGTACTCAGCGCACAAGTCGATGGTGCCAACGAAATCACACACGTCATCCACCGTCCACGAAGACACGGTTGACTTGTCGGCCGCATTTGGGCAGGTGTGTTTATCGGTGGTAGCCGCAGAAGTGGTCAACGGAGCGGAACAGGTCGAGGCGCAAGGTAACACTCGGCTAGGAGCGGCCTGATGGCACGGCGACTGTTTCGACGGCGCCTTTAACGGTTTCGGAGACACGCTGCCCAGCCGCTTGTTGTTGCCGCCTACTCCATTGCATGTCAGGGCGACCTTTTCTCGGGACTTTTGCAGGGCTAGGCCGAAAGCTGGTATGTTGAGGAACGTTTCGGCGAACGATCCGGCGGCCRCCGCGGCACTTTCCCAGTGGCCAGTCGCAGGAAGATGGCCTTTGCGAGGTTTTTTACACGGACTCGACGACGATGACAGGTCAAGCGGGTTCTGTTCGGACGCCGAGGTCGCAGCCACCGATCCGATGTTCTGCGGGTGCAGCGGATTGGACGACGACGACGAGGTAGAGCAAGGCCGCTTGGTACCACCGCCGGTCTTGCCGCTCATGTACGCGTCAAACTGTGATGACCGGACCATGGACAGTAGCGCCTGCGTGGACGACATGTCCATCATGGGCGGGAACATAGGCACGTTGGTCCCAGGTATGTTGGGTGTCGCAAACGGAAATCCCGGGTTCAGCAGACTTCCGTCGCAGCCGTTGTCTTTGGTCGACGCGGCCGCGGCAGCCGCCGCCGCTGCAGCAGCGGTCGCAGCTGATAGTATGCCCAAGTTTAAACCGTTCCGCGAAGGCATGTACCTACATCAACAGAAGACAAACAAATTCAATATACATTTAAAACCTCATTATGTTATAATAATATGACTATTAGGTACTTAACCTAACCTAACCACCCAATCGAAACAGCAGCAAAGGTATTATTATATACACATTTTCATTTTCCAACCATTAAAATAAATAAGTATTAACATAATCGGTTAATAAGATCAAAATTATGTCCATTGTGKGCATAAAAAATAAAGAATTATTAAATTAAAATTTTAAAGCCTGCAGTATCAAGCTTTGAATGTACGAACATTTTGATTAGATGTGGTTATTTGAAAATGAAGAATTAATATAAGATAAATTAATACAAAAAGAAGAGAAAGAATTTCCAATTTAAAATCGTTAAAAAAATCAATTATAAACGATTAATATTAGTAGGTTAAAAATTCACATCATCAAATACAGTGGTTGCTTTAGGTTGAATTCATAGTAAATTATATGCCCTCTCCGCAACCAGAAGTGACAAGTGTTATACCATTATGGATTTATTAATCGATTAGTATGTCATATTATATCATATCATAATATTATAGATTCCATGCAAAGTTATTGAAACACTTGATTAATTAATGAAATAAACAGGGAAAAGGTATTATATATAGGTTATACTATTGAAATTCCGTGACATCGTAAAGAGGTTTAATTTACTACGACTATGACTTTACTGTAGTACTGTTGTGATCTGGAGATTCAAGCAAATAGAGTGATGAAAGAAAATTGATGATACACGTCGTTGACCTAAATACCAATATACCTAATTTAATTAGGATAAATATCMGAACGACTGGCGTAAAATGTCAAACGTTATCGTATAACAGTTAAGATAAAATACGCAGGTACATAATAGGTACACATGTTTTTAAAGATTAAGCTCATTCTGCTATACACGCGTTCTCAACTAGATGTGTGCTTTAGACTGTATCTAGGCCATTTTATGCACAACACTCTAATGAAAAAATTCGGCMTTTGACTGTAAACAGTTTTTTCTACGTTAATTTTTGATTTCTTAAATTTGTCTCCTACTCTTACACTACCAATGTCTATATAACACAAAAATTGTATATTATTATTAAAAATCCTTGAAAATTKTATTGATAAAAATAATATGGATATTGAAATACTTAAAAAACTTATTTTCTTTGCCTCCTTTGCAGAGAAATCGTTTCATCATAATCAACGTAATAATTTATTTGTCGTGCACATAATTTGTTATGTTAAGTTAAGAGGTAGAGTAATGATACTTAATATAAGTACTTAGTATGTACCAGTGTACAACACGATATACAACTGACCTGTAACTAGATGATGAATAGATATTATTTTTTTTTCTTCCTTAAAAAACGAACTCTATTTTACTACACAAATGGATTAAGCACTGTGCATGTTCGCTAGATTATTATTTTTAATACGATTATCGTTTATCGTTTATTAGACGATGATTACTACTAAGTAACTATAAATATAGTATTATTATAGGTGCAGTGAGCTCAATGAGCTCATACACTATTTGGCGCGCGCGCACACAATGATTACAAGGCACTGCAAGACGGGTCGTGTACGCAATAATAATAATAATCATAATTTAGTCCTGTTAATCGTCAGAAGAAAAAAACACTCAGCTGATTTCGTGAGAATTGCCACCGAGCGTCGTTGTCCGTCGATTTTTAAAACGAACGCATTTTTTTACGGAAGGAAAGCGTATGCTAGAGACGGCGGATAATAATTATTCCGTCTATATAATAGCTGTTGTGTACTTGTGTACGAGAAGATCGTGACAGTAATTTTTATAATTTTCTTTTTATGTTTTTAATGAACGCTCGTTGCATCGACACACATTTTATTATTATTATTATTTTCTCACCTCCACTACATCTGCAGAGTGACAACGATTTCGGCACTATAACTACAAAACCTATCGTCTAATTAATTATAAATATTTAGTATATGGTGATTGAGGAGGGCGATGTTCACACGAAAATTTGAATTTTTTTACTGACATTTTCAGACACAAACTTAAGCACTAATGTATAGTTACACTATATAACTCACCTGCAACTATGTATATTTCTACAATACTAAGCTCAAGTCCACAATTAACTTTTATCATGATATAATATACTTATGCGTCTATAATATTACAGAAATTATCATTATTTAATTATCATTTTAAATAAAATGCATGATCATATTGTAGTGCGCCACTAGTACCCAATCAAACACGATTTCAACGTAATCTTTTGGGTTGAAATAGTATAAAATTGTATATAAATGTAGAGTACACATGATATTATGCTAGGTAATCGAATTTTTCGAACAGTTATAGGTATACATATTATATACGATGATAAACAATAAAATCGATCTCGTAAAGACTTCACACGATAATATCTTCTATAATATAATAACGACTAGCGATATTATTCCGCATTAATTAGTCCATCGCGAATTACGCAATTTTAACTRCATACATAATAGTATATATATTATATATATATTGTAGAATACATACGATTTATAAAAGAATACAATGAGATCGTATTATCGTAATAAATATTAATGTGGACTGCAGCTATGTATAGGAAAACATTATGAACCCCATAAAAATCGTGTTAAAAGGAAAACTTGTGCAAAATAATAACATGCTTATCCTATATGTTCATCAAACAGTTGTTTGATCGTAAATATTAATTTAATTACCCTTCAGCTCATGTTGTTTCTATGCTATTATTAAACGTGTCTCACAGGTTAATATAGTTGGGTGTCTGCCGTGGATATTGTCTATTATTTTTAATGTCCAATTGTTTGACTTCGTCGTTTCTATTGTAATATTATGTAATTACTATATTATATCGGTTAAGTGTTTTGTTTTTCTTTTACAGTAGTCGAATAATTATTAGAAAACAACAATATATATCTAATACTGCAAGGTCTTTTAAACGAATTTCCGAGATAAATAAATGTAAATCGATTGAATTTTGATGTGTATTATATCACTTCGAAATAGTCATCGCTAGTTCCTTTTATACGACCAATAAAAATTCCTAGAAAGGCGAAAATCATTCTACAGACCATGCAAAAAAGTATCAATATAAATGTGTTTTGAAATATTAATTGGTAGGTGTTTCGAAAATAATCCACGACGATCCGTCAGAGAAAACCAGTAAGTCTATATTAGATTATCATTATATAAAATAKAAGTCGTAAATTAATACTCACTCGCTAGGGTTGGCATTCTGGTACTTGGCGGCCAGACTTCGAATGAGGTCGCTGCAGTTTCGGTTGGGCGCAGGACTGGACACGCGGTCCGCCGCGGCTGCGACACCGGGTGGCGTACCTGGGTAGCACGACGAAGACGGCGTGCCGCTACGCGACGATGCCGAGTCACCGCCCGTCGCAGCCACCGGGCTCAGGCGTTCCGTCTTCACGTCGGCCGCGGTCGCCACTCTATTGTTGTTGGCACTGGTTGTATTGTTGTTATTCACTGAGTGCTCAATCTGCATACCGACCCCCGAACGTCGGCTCTTAGACAAACCAAACAAGTCGATGTCTCTTTTGATGTCCACTGCGGAAAACAAACAAAATCGTTAATGAAACCGATAAAATATTTTTTTATTAGACCTGAATGTCAATAATTTTTACATATGTTTTTGGAACGTCTTGGATTATTTATCAGCAATTTCATGGTAAAAAAAAATAATGCAGATTGTCGTCGATATTCGATACCATCCTTTCAATTTATTGTTTTATATCTCTAATGTATAATTTATTATATTTTAAGGCATTTTGTATGTTTCTAGGACATATTTATAGGTTATTAAGAACAAACGTGGTTGAACAGTACTAATTATAATAAAATAATCATTTGAATTATAAATATTTATAATTCAAATGCAAATTATATATTCACACGTCCGACTTGTATAGAATCAGATTAAGAACTAAAATGTTACCCAAGTATTATATTAATGTATGGAAAAATCAATTAAATCATTATTATATTGGTATTTGTTAAATATGTTATTCAAAAATACTAAATATTTTAATCATCATCACAAGATGAAATAAGGTAGGTACTCTAAACATACTTATAAACATGGTATGACATACTAATTTATGTTAAATTTAAACTTGTGATTCCCTATGTTTAAATAGCACATTGATAAGATCATTTTAATTAAAATTATTCTCATAAGGTTTTATGTATTATTTATACATTATATTCCATATATAATATACATATAGAGTACAATGATAATTATTACCATTTATTTCAACTTGAAGTATACATAAATTTCAGACGCTAAGTTTCAGGGCCCAGGGGCATAATTAAGTGTGGAAAGGGGTACCTACGCATTCCTTCAACAAATAAACTAATAACAATCAAAAACCTAAAAGACTAGAGAACATGTTTCGTCCGTGACTCGAAAATCCCAGTGAGGACAGCGTTATCTTCAGGCTGACTAATCAGCAACAGAAAATGTCGCGGTTACACGCTCGTGAGTAACCATGTACAATGCCGTGAACCGCAGTCATCAAATAAATACGGTAGTCACATCGACTACTKTAGACAAATATTTAGTATCAAATCGTTACCGAATAACCGCGATATTCTCTAAAGATCAGTGTTACAGGAAATTATGGCCGCTGTTCATTGTATCAGACAGATTCTCAATGATTCCTTGGAAACTGACTTCAGCCGGATTCATAGCTACGCCGTGTGTCGTTTCGTACAATGGTTACAATTGGTAATTATATTGAAGTAGAGCTGTAGTAAATTCTTAGTACTCATACTCAGTTGCAACTTGGATATTACATGATGCAAAACAAAGTCCAATAACAATACAATTTATAGATCACATGGCGTAGATGTGAATCCCGGCATAAGGGATAATAGTATATTATATAAAGTAAGAAGTAACCACAATATTTTAACAGATTTGATTAAAGTGCAGCTCAAAGAAATTTCTGTAAGATAAGTCTTCTATACACGTCTGAGTTTGATCCTCATCATTATTCTGCAGGTCCAACGATACTTATCACCAGCTGTTTCCCGAAGATTGCAAACACATCAATCACAAGGTAATGTATGTTATTCACTGGTTYCATCAGCTCGTACTTGGATGCACTTCGACATCGATTTACTGACTAATATAGATAATCGTAGCCTCTCATGCAGTACTACATGCAGTAAGTACAAATCCAAAATGACCGTCAAACTTAATTTATCAGCATCATGAAATCGAAATAGATATACTATGCAGTACGAAATACGGAAACTGGTACACTTGGTGTGCTAAGAGACAGTCAGCGTTCATGTAGAAGTTGCTGCAACATACTAGTTTAATTTTAATCTTAAATAAAAATGTAATGATAAATTATATACCTAGGCACCAGTTCCGTTCCGAGTAACTTAAATRAATAACCTATTTCCATCCTAATCCCAAATTATTTATAACACGTAGTAAATAATAATACATTTCCTTTACTTAAGTATATATTATTATAGTTATGCATAAAATCTAAATTGAAGAATATTAATTAAAAATGTTCTATATAAACCAATTGCGTTTATAATTCTTCTGAAAATTAACCATCTGAAAATTGAACAGTTATATTTCACTGAATTACTATTTCCATCTCGACTAATTTTGTTACAGTAATTTTCATCTTTGCRCACCACACACAATTATAGGTAGGTACTGTTAATCATTTCAAACAAAATTTAAAGGAATGTTTTAATTTTTTAAACCAAATAATAAACAATATCTTAATACTCTTAAACGGATCAATATGAATTTATATATTTATAAACAAATTATTAATTACAGTAACAGTGATATACCATTAGTTAACAAAACAAGATTGGTTTAGGGGGACGAGGTGGCCGAGTGGTCTACCGCGTCGGCTGTGGCTCAGCCGGACCGGGTTCGATCCAATCRATCCTCGACCATCGGGAGGCATTTTTCTCCGGGCAAGTTAGTTTTTATTATTTTATTTTTATTAGCAGAAACCTACGGATGCCCCAATAGAAATTCTACCAAAAACTCTCACCCACGAGTAAAACCAACCTACAGTTCCATAAGAACCTACAGTACTACCCCCTTCCCAATGGCCTTAGTTGCCACGGGATAATAATAAAAAAAAAAAAATGGTTTAGTTAAACGCAATTTGGTATATTGCGCGTAGGTCAGAGATAAATAAAATAATTCACTAATTTATTTTTATATGAAGTAGGTACAGAGGTTTAAGTTGACATGACGACTATGTATTACAACCAATTCTTGAGGGATTTAAATGAAAATCTATACACCTACAAAACCACAGATCCCGAATTTTCAGTATTTAATACAAACAAAAAAAACTGATGCATATCTGTATATACAAATATTAAACTTTTTATGAAATATCATACCTAATAAATGTTTGTTTRATCTGCGGAAGTAATAATGATACGGGCATTGTAGGGTTTATAATCTATATGTAAAACCTTATAGCTGAATTCACTCATGTACCAACGATATCTGAATCTTGATTCGTGGTTAGTCTATTCGACTTCACATAATACTTAATAGTTATATATTATACACATGACAATAACGTAAKAGATTTTTTTAACGTGCTTATACAAATTTGTTGAAATAAAATCTTCGCACATGAGTATATAAGAAGAACGTCTGAACATAGTTCGTTGTTATTTGTTAATAAACATAAAACTACATAATAATATACCTATATTAAATTTCCAACAATGAAAATGAGTAGCGGAAACGATAACACCAACTGTTTGTGTATAATAATATTATATAGGCACGCACGTCAAAATATATCATTTTTCTGCGCGAAGAGATCTCATTCGATCGCATTGTTATTATTATAATCTTTACGATTCGTTACACGTGATTACTGATTATATTATCCCACATATTATTATTATACATACATAAGGCGCATACCACGACCGTCTGTATATATTTTTTGTTTTTTTTTTTTTTTTTGGCACCCATTGACCGTATGTACAACCGTATATAATATGTATAACTATCAACTATACAAGTAATATGGGCGCGTGCGTGCGTGAAAAAAATAACGCCGCAAAATGATCCACCCACGCTGCCGTATTTTTCCACGCTTTTTTCGCAGCTCACGGCCAATTGGACACCAGCCATTATTATATATTTTAGAATTATATGCCTTCGCCACTCTGCAGCAGAGTCCCATCGTTGTAGACCTACACAAATAATAGTACATAATATTATTACGACCGTATAAATCTAGATATGTATATATTATCATTAAAACACGAGAAGCGTGCGGATCTATCAAATTCGACTCAATAAGTAAAAACCAGAAAGTTGAGCGTTATAATATGTACACAGTACTATAAAAAATGATATGAAAAAAAAAAATGTTATATTATAACATGAGGAGCTCATTGATTTTATATTATATTATTATAATTCTTCGTTGATGTGGTGACGTGATCCGACCGATTGACAATATTATAATTTTGAATAGATATAATTTTTTACAAATAAATGATAACTCATAACAATAACAACATAATATTAGTACAGTATAAATTCCACCAAGTACCAGCTGCCGATTAATAATTTATATATATATATACTATTGTAGGTTGTAGAAATATTATTTATAATTATTAATAAACACATATTATGGAATTAATTATGATCAAGGTATTCGTGCGTATATAGTAAGTACACACTTTTATATCCACAAATAATGCAACCGAAGCTGGTCCCGATTTATCTGAACTTATATTTTATCCACCCAAAATCAGAAATTAAACAGTAGCCATGTATCACGATGATATTATAATAAAGATCGCACAAGATTTCACTGATTGTCATATTACTCCATCGTGGGTAGATAATATTATTGCCTGAAGCAATAATATAGAGATTGAAATGTAATATTACAATACTTACGAACTATACGATACATATAAGTATACTATGTATAATAAATTCAACGCATAAAAGTCTTATATATATAAGTATGCTGCAAGTTCGCTGCAATATTATAATATCACAATCAGATCTGCTGCAACTCATTATTGTAATCTCATAATGTATAACTTTTTTTCGAAACAGAAACGTTATATCGCGCCTCATAAACAGCTGTATTACAGGCATAACAATATAAAATGTGAATATTAAAAATTCAAATAAGTACTTACTATTTAAATCTATATAATAAGCAATATTTAAGACTTCCAGCAACTAAAATTGAAATTATAATGTCTGGTTTAATCTAAGAATGTAATACACATTTCCAAATTTTAATAGCAATATATTTTCCAGATAATATACAATTTTTAAAAATATAACCAAACAAAAGAGTTGGTGTATTATTATACCATAAATACTTATAATAATTACAATCTAAAATAGTAAGTTAAYTACTAAACTCGAATAATTATGAACTTAACACCCTAATTTTGGTTTTTCGTACCTGTAAGCTGTAGTAGAGTTTTTCAATACTTCTCTTTAAATAGACGCGTTATGCAAGGCTCTGTTTTGTACATATATTATTAAATAC